ATAACATAAAATATTAATTGAAAAATTTGAACATTAATATTCAAATAAGCTAAAGATATTTATATAAATATACCTAATTTTAATTTTATTCATTATAATAAAAAAAAATTTTAATTTTTTGAAAAAGTGATGAAATACAAAGAAATAATTATTATATATATTTCATAATATTAATAAAAATATTAATAAAAAATTATAATTTGTGTAAAAAATAAAAAGTTTATACAATAAATGAATAATTTTAAGAAAAAATTTTGTATAAAATCATTAAAGACAAGTAAATTAAGTAAATAATTTTATGGATTGCTGAATGAATTGATTAATTGTATATACCTTTTTCTTTAACAATATTATGTTCCTAGTAATAAATTATTCAAATAACAATACAAATAAGATACAGAAAATGTTTAATAATATTGAGCGTAAAGATATGCTTTTAATTCTATATGTCAACATGGAGGTGAACTAGATGTTGGCGCAGTATCAACAGTTTGTGTTGAAGTTGATGCAACTGTTGATGATTTTGTTAACCTTCGTTTAGCTAATAAAAATTGTCCCATTAATTCATGATGAGCTTCTAGTCGTTCGATACAATGTAGACAAGCTGTTTTAGGTAATGGGTCATTCATGTTTACCTATATGACAAAAATATAAAAATTATATATTTATTTCTAAATTTTTAAATTAAATTTATTTATTAATATATTATATAATATTATTATTATATACTAATATTATTTATATATTTGCATATATATTTTAAAAAATTAGAAACTTTCTTTATATATAAAAGTTCTTAAAATATATAATAAACTAGATATAATATGTATAAATAAATAACTCAAATTAACTTCTGATAAATTAATATAACTATAATAATTATATTTAAAAAAACTTAATAAATTTATAATAAAATGAACTTTTTTTATCATGATGTGCAGTTTTGATTCTTTAAATTATTATATTTGATTCAATATTGTCAAATATGGTTAAAAATTTTATATAAAAAAAATTAAAAATATAACTTAAACAAGCTGAAATCTTATTCAGCCATATATAAAATGTTATACAAGATATAAAAATTTTATTAACAATATTATTAACAATATATATATTGTTAATAATATTGATAAAAATGATTTAAAAAAATATAAAAGTACATAATTATTTTACCGTAATTGGGAGATAAGCATTTATTTTTTCAGCAAGTTTCATTCTTTCACCCTCTTCACCGTATATATGGATCACGAAACGGTTCATTTTGCTGCAAAGTCTACATATAAAACCCGTGATCACAGCTTTATCTGTGCTACCCATTTCAATTATTTACTAAAATTTATTTCTTTATATATGATACTTATCGACACCCTATAACCCGACACAAGTCAATAACTTCACACAAAAATTACTATTCTATAAATCGCACAAGATGTTATGCTTCTTTCGAGATTGTTTATCATAGTTCTGAATAACTGGCGCTACAAGCACTGTATTTCTACTATACCATATCAAAATTTTATATAGAAAATTGCTTACTCTTCCTTGATATAAATTGA